TTGCATAGCACGTGCAGATGAAACGGATCTGGCTGTTGAGCTCGAGAATATGAAACGCGACGGCTTACCTGAAATTTAAAGAAAGTACCATGGTAAGAAGTCAGAGTGATGAAGTATGAATTTTGCTTACGGCATCCAGTCGCTCCATTTTTATGCGGCAGGTGGCTGCCCAAGTCACAAGCGGATTGGCCCCATTTAGCATTCGAGAGGTCAGCTGATAAGTGGTAAGCTGCAAACCGAACAACATTTTGTAATTTTACTTTCAACCATCCATATCCAAAGCTATAAACACGATGACAATTTTGATCAAACGGGAGAGCACCGAACTCGAAAAGAGTGTAAAAAATTTACAAGTAATTCGATCGAAAGAAAGTGGAATAACGTACAGTCGAGTAGATTTAGCGGTAAATATAGTGTGCTTGCACAGAAGGTGAAATGCGGTGAAATTTGCGCGTGAACAATTAGCCACGTCAGTAGCGCGGGTATCTTGCGCGCGCAATTGGCTGGCGTCACAGTCGAAACTATTTCTTCACGCGCCAATTTTACCGCATTTCACCTTCTGTGCAAGCACACTATATTTACCGCTAAATCTACTCGACTGTACCTGACTTCCCCGTTCACCACCACAATGAAGTTGTAGGTAAGTGTAGTGATTACAAGCTTCTTGATATAAAGTTCTGTAATCAGCACTTGTCTGCTGGCACCAATACGGCTTCTGCGGCTCCAATTCTTGACGCCATGCATCCAACAATGATGGCATTACCCATTTATAAGCAAGACGGCGTAATCCTAAAATTGTGTTTGAAAATTTAGGTGCGCAACTGCCTTCTAAAGAGTTCACCTGAATCTGGCTCACCTCAGCTCCGGCTTCCCTCCCGCAGGCTGTCCTCAGTTGTTCCAACGCCTTTCTTGAATGGATAAAGACGAATTTACCAAAGTTAGAGCTATCTCTATCGTCGCGACACAATTTTCGGCCACAAAAAGCGTGTCCGACCGCTAGCGCCAGAGGACTAGAAAAATATTTTAGTAATAATTTTATGGATAAATTTTTGGGAATCTCATACTCATGGAGGAGTTCATCTGGGCATCGTCGCACCATAGCATAATGTTGCTTGGCTTCTTCACGTAAACCCTGCTTCCAACAAAGAGCGCAGGTGAGGATATGAGTCCACCAAGTGCAAAGAGCATCACCTTCAGATAGCCATGTGGCGCAGTCTGGAACGTTTAGAATTTTAAAAAAATCAAAAAAAAAGAGAGCGATGGGAAGGGATCAACCAGAGGAGGTTACAAAATGGGTTACGTTCTGCTCACCCCAATTATTTTCCTTCTTTGGCAATCCTCCAGCCACTGATATATTTATTAGAAGTCGAGAAACCTCGACAATATCAATTTCTTTCTGCCCACACTCGCCACACAGCTCGTTTGCCAACAGCGTCAGCAATCGCACTTTGAAAGCTGCTCGTAGGCGAGCAAAAAAAAATCTGAAAACTCTATTATGTGGTTGGCACATAAGTTTTGCAACTTGTTCCATAATTTTTCTGTTCTTGGATGTGGCAGCTATCACTTTTCTACATAATGTATAGATAGTGAACTGCAAATTTGCGCAAACGATTTGGTTCTGGTACCGTGGCGAATTTTGCTCATTTTCCCAAAGCGGGTCAAATCAGAAACTTCATCCTGCAAAAAACAAAAACGGAAGCCGTTCTCAGTTTGCTTCAAAGGTGTCAAAAAGTAACTGTACAATGATGGTTGCTACACAAATTCTAACCATATAAGTACAGTTTCGGCTTGATGCGTTTGATACAGACTGAGAACGACTTGGTTTTTGTTTTTAGCCCTGGGGAATTTTTGATTTGACCAGCTTTAGGAAAATGCGCAAAATTAGCCCCAGTTCGCCACCAGAACAAAAAGATTTGCGCAAATCTGCGCTTACTACCTAATCTACATCATGCCAAAAAATGAGAGCGCTACATTCAAAAACAGAAAAATTATGGAACAAGTTGCAAAAATTATGCGCCAATACATCTGCACAAAGATAACTGAGACAGCTCTTGCTCCTTATTGGACAACAAAATTACTCAACACTTTAGCGCAATTTTGGATCCCTTCCTAATCAACTTGCAAAATAATACTGTTGACCTGATAACAGCAGCGATGTAGATATCAGCCAGAACATTGCGAGGCAAACCATCAATAGAAGCTCCCGCGATTTCGGCAGGATTCACAGCGGAGAGGGCTAGGTACAAGCCCGATATACCTCCACTCGTTTCGTCAACACCAAGCAAATGTAGCTGCAATGGAAAAGCCCTCTTTTACTGTCGCATAGCATTTTTTATTTCCTCGAAGGTATATTTTTGCGCAAAAAATTGAATGTGCAAGTAAGGAAAAAACAGCTTTTTCTAGCATCACTGGAGCAATAATAGTCATCAGAGGACTTTATTCAAAAATTAAAGTGAAATAAAAAATATATCACACTTGGTTGCATTATTTGAGGGCTAGTAAGATTTCAGCAACTCATTTTACCCAAAATGCACATTCAATTTTTCGCTCATAAACGCTTATAACTCCTCGTCCATAAATGATCTGCAGATAAGGAAGGCAGATTTAGAATTAGCATTTTATGCCCTTTGATATGGTATGTACAGTAACCGCCAAAAAGTTGCGGACAAGCCGCTCCTTTTTTTATCGCTCAATTCCGGATGGAAAACAAAGATGAACAAATGATTGGATTACATGAGGTGATAGAGCTCTTAAAAAACTACAACGGACACATTGCGCTTTTTGGAGAATGTGTATTCTAAAAATTTCGAAAAATTTTTTCTAAAAAATCCGAAAATGGCCGCGTCACAATGTCGCGGACAATAATTCTTCGAACGCGATAATTTTCCTTTAGGTCTTTGTTTGGAGCGAAAACAGAGGTTTCCTGACAGATGAGCACACTAGATTCTAGAGCCCATCGAGGACAGCAATCAGGTAGTAGTTACTTCCAAAAAACCCAAGCTCAAATTTTATTTTCCTTTTTTTCAAAAAATAGCTTCTAATTACCTTTTCAAGCCAAGTTTCTCCACATGGAAACCTATTCAAAACATCCCAACAAAGCTGCTCGGATAAAGTGGATTCTCTTTGCCATACTCTATGCATCGGAGTGTGCTGCTAAGTTTGTTTGCCGTAAATGGCTCTTGACTGTGCGTGCACATGACCCCATCTGCACCTCACCACGGACTGCACGCTTTGCAGGCTTGTAGCTCGGTCAGCAGTCATTCTACAAGACTGCAAATAGGCTCAATCGAAAGTGGACTTCCTCGATGCGAAGTTACGCAAACGAGCTGAGTTTGGAAAGTCCCGGATTCTACGGATGGGGCGAAGAAGCGCAGCTTCAGTGATAGGCTAAGGATTTTTCCGTTAAAGTTAAACGGATCTTTTCTAGCAGTTCCATTCTAGAAGTTTGAAACAAGTTTCTTGCAACAGATCCATTTCGGAGCTCTAAGACTGTTCTGATGTTGATAAGAGCTTTCACTCCAATCATCTCCAAGGCTGCGCTTTTTCGCCCATCCGTAAAATCTCCGAGACTTCACAAGCTCAGATGATTTGCAAACCATCGCATCGAGAAAGTTACGCGCTTTCGAACGAGCCTACTTGCAGTCTCGTAGAATGACTGCTGGCCGTGCTTCAAGCCTGCAAAGCGTGCAAATCAGCGGTAAGGTGCAGATGGGGTCAGCACGCGCTGTCAAAAGCCATTTCAAGCAAAGAGACTTACCAGCACAAGTGATGTATAGAGGATGGCAAAGAGCATCCGATCCGAACAGCTTTGTTGGTGTGTCTTAAATAGGTTTTCATGGGAAGAAATTTGGCTAAAAAACGGCAGTTAGAAGTTATTTTTTGAAAAAAAAGCAAAGTAAAATTCAAGCTTGGATTTATTCGGAAGTAACCATTACCTGATATAACCACTATCTGATTATTGCGTTCGTTGAGCTCTATAATACAGTACGCTTACCTGTTAGGAAAACTTCTGTTTCTGCTTTAAACAAAGACTTGAAGGAAGATTTTTGCATTCGAAATTACTGTCCGCGACATTGTGACGCAGCCATTTTCGGACTTTTTTAGAAAAAGATTTTTGAAATCTTTAGAATACAAACTTTCCAAAAAGCGCAATGTGTGCGTTGTAGCTCTTCAAGAGCTCTATCACCTCGTGCAATCCATTCTTTTTTTCATCTTTGTTTTCCATCCGAAAATGAGCGATGAAAAAAAGGAAGGCGGCTTGTCCGCAGCTTTTCGGCGGACTGTATATCCCATTCAAAAGGAAACTTCGACTAAACAAGCTTCCCTTGTAAGTTGGTGGATGGTAACTAATGTTCAGGATTGCACTCCAACTTGGAGCAGAGGAGAGATTCAGAGTTCAAATTTTTACTTTGCTTATTTGATGGCACACTTCACGAAGGAAAGAGGTGGCAATAGCTATCATGTGAGAAACTAGCACGAATCACCGGAATGATTAAAATTCGAGAAAATAATCAACTTGTGCAAAAAATTTCAATATGAAGCAAAATTTGGGACATTGGAACATGTGAAAACAACGTAAAATGCGATGCAGGGAGTAACTGGGACTCGTATGTAGATCAAGGTACAAGGCAAAGTTGACTTGATAAAATTGAGCGCATAAATCACAAAGATGGTAATTTTGAGCAAAACGAAGTATTCCAGAGTAAGAATCACAATATATGGGAGGGTAGATCAGTAACAAGGAGTAAACAATCAATAAGACCAAAAACAAGGCACAGGGTGGAACTCACTGGGCGATTGAGAGAGAATCATGTGTGAAAACAAAAATGCAAGGAGGGTAACGTGCATGTTGTCCTGCCGGCGGAACTCAGAACTGAACGATCTTAAGCCAAAAATTTAGCAGAGCGATTTGAAGGCACCGTTCAGGCGAAGTCAGGTTCAATGCCCTCAAGATACAATAACAGTATGAGAAAAAAACATTTTACTACAATAGTAATTCACGCCGAATGAAAACTGTAGAGAACAAACATTGAGTAATCTACTGACACAGGCTACACATGAACAATTGAAGATGACTATATGATAAATCACCTCTTGCGAGATCGGGAAAATACGAGTTACAATTTACTGAACTCTTTGGCACATTCTTGGTAGATCATCGTGCAATTTGCATAGGACGTGCAGATGAAACGGATCTGGCTGCTGAGCTCGAGAATATGAAACGCGACCGCTCACCTGAAATTCAGAGAAAGTAACATGAGAAGTCAGAGTGGTTAATTATGAATTTGCTTACAGCATCCAGTCGCTCCATTTTTATGCGGCAGGTGGCTGCCCAAGTCACGAAAGGGTTGGCCCCATTCAGCATTCGAGAGGTCAACTGATAAGTGGCAAGCTGCAAAACGAACAGCATTTTGTAATTCAACTATCAGCATCCACATTCAGAAAGTTGATTTGACCAAGTGGGAAAGTACCATTTGATTCAAATGGCTTGGCTTCGGGAAGGCGGGGCTTCGTGACCTAGCTAAGGCTAAGTAATGGTCAGAGAGCATTCGCGCGAGAGACACGCAGATGCGTCGCGGGCGCGAGCGGCCTTAATTAGGTCACAAAGCCCCGCTTTCTTGAAGCCAAACCAGTTGAATCAAAGGCTCCCAAAGAATAGAGAAACCTTGTAGCCTGCTCGAAAATTTGGTGGAAAAAGGTAGCGAAAATTTTACAAGGTAATTCGATCGAAAGAAAGTGGGGTGGCGTACCCGACTTCCTCGTTCACCACCATAGTGGAGTTGTAGATAAGTGTAGTGATTACAAGCTTCTTGATATAAAGTTCTGTAATCAGCATTTGTCTGCTGGCACCAATACGGCTTCTGCGGCTCCAATTCTTGACGCCATGCATCCAACAGCGATGACATTACCCATTCATAAGCAAGACGGCGTAAAGTATCCTAAAATTGTGCTTAGAACTAGCGAACCAGTAAACTAAAGCTGCTATTTGCAAGAGCGTTCGCTTCGGGTCCGCCACACAGTTTCCCGCTATTTGCAGATTTTTGAATTGCGCTTACGTTTCTTTAAATCTTGGATAAATTTTAGGTGCGTAACTGCCTGTGGCGGAATAGCGCCTTTGGAATAAGAAGCTCCGCTGTGGTATTAGACGTAAGCTTAGAGCTTTATTGAGTCAGACGACCTGCATGGGTGCAGTAGTAGAATGCTGCATATGATGGGCGTGACAAAATAGTATACATGCATCTGGGCTACAGAGATAACTCATATCACAGCAGGCATGCTTATGGCATGACCTGTACGGTACTTAGCAATGAGTAAAGTGATACGGCAAGGAGGGTGCCGACATTGTCGGCACACTGCCACCGACGGAAAGCGAATGGACAGCGAGGAACGTGATAAAAAGTATAAAAACGGCGAAGGTGAAAAGGTGCCGAATCTATCGGCACACTGCGGCCGGCCGGGCATGAAACAGAAAAGGAGAGGCATGTGTTGAAAACATGTAAAATGATTTAAGCCTGCTTGCGAATTCCTCTTTTTGTCTGGATAGAGCAGTGGTCGTTGGTGAACCGTGCGTATCGCTTCGACTGTGTTGATATCCGCGAAGCATGCGTGGACGTAGCGACGGCTGGAGGCAGACGGTTGGAGAAGCAGGTTTCAATAGAAATGTTGAAATTAGTGCATCGATTATGGCACACGCAGTTGAGTCTCAAAACGTTTAAATTTTAAATACTCGTTAAATTTGAAGGTATTGACTTTCCATCTTTGATATCGGCTCTCTTCACCTCTATTGTAGCCGTAGGCAACATGACCTGCAAAGGTACCTCGTATGCAGATAAGGCCTTGTTTGTATCGCATCGGTCAATCCTATCGCATTGCTTGTTGTTTTCTTTTTCTGGATCTGCTTTCTCCAGCCTGATGTCTGGCGATAATTCCGCTTCTGTTGTTGCAATTTGATCATTTCCTTTGAAACTTAAAATGATTGTTTTGCTAGAATCTTGCTGTAGTTTATCGACAGCTGATGGTGGGCTGTCCACAACAGTGATTCTCCTGTGTGAGGTCACAATATGAGTATCTTCTCTGGTTGCTGGTTTCGTAGAAGTATGCTCGGCTCTAATGTTTTTCCGTAATGAAGTGCACAGTTTTCTGCGTTCTAGTCTAGATAGTTCTATCTCGCATTCCAGTACTCGGTCATGCAGCTTGTTAACGAATATTTCGGCATCGAACATAGCTTGAAAGTACCTGATTTCTTCTTCGAGCCCATCGAGCTCCTTTACCATAACTTTCCTCATCATTTTTGTTTTTTTCAAATACAGCTGCTCCAGTAGATCGATTTCCGTTTGTAACGAGTGTGAATTCGCTTCGACTTCCTTGATAATCCTTGTCGATACACGCAGATTGTAGGCGCATAATTTTCGTCGCAGTTCGTCATCTTCTGGAAGTGTGGTTTTCTCACCTTGGCATGCATACTCTTGCAGTACTTTCGTGAGTTCTTTGGTGTGCCATCTGATTTCTTCTACGTAGTGGCGAGGAATCAGCTTCATTTTTTTGGTGATCCCTTTTGTGCTGCTATTAGAAGCGAAGCACTGTGTCGGCCTTCGTGTTTGGCCGATGCACCATAAATGTGGCGGAATAGCGCCTTTGGAATAAGAAGCTCCGCTGTGGTATTAGACGTAAGCTTAGAGCTTTATTGAGTCAGACGACCTGCATGGGTGCAGTAGTAGAATGCTGCATATGATGGGCGTGACAAAATAGTATACATGCATCTGGGCTACAGAGATAACTCATATCACAGCAGGCATGCTTATGGCATGACCTGTACGGTACTTAGCAATGAGTAAAGTGATACGGCAAGGAGGGTGCCGACATTGTCGGCACACTGCCACCGACGGAAAGCGAATGGACAGCGAGGAACGTGATAAAAAGTATAAAAACGGCGAAGGTGAAAAGGTGCCGAATCTATCGGCACACTGCGGCCGGCCGGGCATGAAACAGAAAAGGAGAGGCATGTGTTGAAAACATGTAAAATGATTTAAGCCTGCTTGCGAATTCCTCTTTTTGTCTGGATAGAGCAGTGGTCGTTGGTGAACCGTGCGTATCGCTTCGACTGTGTTGATATCCGCGAAGCATGCGTGGACGTAGCGACGGCTGGAGGCAGACGGTTGGAGAAGCAGGTTTCAATAGAAATGTTGAAATTAGTGCATCGATTATGGCACACGCAGTTGAGTCTCAAAACGTTTAAATTTTGAATACTCGTTAAATTTGAAGGTATTGACTTTCCATCTTTGATATCGGCTCTCTTCACCTCTATTGTAGCCGTAGGCAACATGACCTGCAAAGGTACCTCGTATGCAGATAAGGCCTTGTTTGCATCGCATCGGTCAATCCTATCGCATTGCTTGTTGTTTTCTTTTTCTGGATCTGCTTTCTCCAGCCTGATGTCTGGCGATAATTCCGCTTCTGTTGTTGCAATTTGATCATTTCCTTTGAAACTTAAAATGATTGTTTTGCTAGAATCTTGCTGTAGTTTATCGACAGCTGATGGTGGGCTGTCCACAACAGTGATTCTCCTGTGTGAGGTCACAATATGAGTATCTTCTCTGGTTGCTGGTTTCGTAGAAGTATGCTCGGCTCTAATGTTTTTCCGTAATGAAGTGCACAGTTTTCTGCGTTCTAGTCTAGATAGTTCTATCTCGCATTCCAGTACTCGGTCATGCAGCTTGTTAACGAATATTTCGGCATCGAACATAGCTTGAAAGTACCTGATTTCTTCTTCGAGCCCATCGAGCTCCTTTACCATAACTTTCCTCATCATTTTTGTTTTTTTCAAATACAGCTGCTCCAGTAGATCGATTTCCGTTTGTAACGAGTGTGAATTCGCTTCGACTTCCTTGATAATCCTTGTCGATACACGCAGATTGTAGGCGCATAATTTTCGTCGCAGTTCGTCATCTTCTGGAAGTGTGGTTTTCTCACCTTGGCATGCATACTCTTGCAGTACTTTCGTGAGTTCTTTGGTGTGCCATCTGATTTCTTCTACGTAGTGGCGAGGAATCAGCTTCATTTTTTTGGTGATCCCTTTTGTGCTGCTATTAGAAGCGAAGCACTGTGTCGGCCTTCGTGTTTGGCCGATGCACCATAAATGTGGCGGAATAGCGCCTTTGGAATAAGAAGCTCCGCTGTGGTATTAGACGTAAGCTTAGAGCTTTATTGAGTCAGACGACCTGCATGGGTGCAGTAGTAGAATGCTGCATATGATGGGCGTGACAAAATAGTATACATGCATCTGGGCTACAGAGATAACTCATATCACAGCAGGCATGCTTATGGCATGACCTGTACGGTACTTAGCAATGAGTAAAGTGATACGGCAAGGAGGGTGCCGACATTGTCGGCACACTGCCATCTAAAAAATTCACCTGAATCTGGCTCACTTCCGCTCCAGCTTCCCTCCCGCACGCTGTCCTCAGTTGCTCCAACGCCTTCCTTGAATGGATAAAGACGAATTTACCAAAGTTAGAGCTATCTCTATCGTCGCGACACAATTTTCGGCCACAGAAAGCGTGTCCGACCGCTAGCGCCAGAGGACTAGAAAAATATTTTAGTAATAATTTTATGGATAAATTTTTGGGAATCTCATACTCATGGAGGAGTTCGTCTGGGCATCGTCGCACAATAGCGTAATGTTGCTTGGCTTCTTCACGTAAGCCCTGCTTCCAACAAAGAGCGCAGGTAAGGACATGAGTCCACCAAGTGCAAAGAGCATCACCTTCAGATAGCCATGTGGCGCAGTCTGAAACGCGTAGAATTAGAAAAATCAAAAAAAAAAGAGGCGATGGAAAAGGATCACCAGAGAGGGTTATAAACATTCTGCTCACCCCAATTATTTTCCTTCTTTGGCAATCCTCCAGCCATTGATATATTTATAAGAAGTCGAGAGACGTCGACAAAGTCAATTTCTTTTTGCCCAATCTCGCCGCACAGCTCGTTTGCCAACAGTGTCAGCAATCGCACTTTGAAGGCTGCTCGTAGGCGAGAAAGGACATCAGCTGGAAAAATTTGTGAAATAAACATAACAATGAAGTAATAGCTATCATCGCTACCATCGCATTCTCCAATTATCGGCTTTAGAGAAGTTTTCTTGACGTTGAGAATAGCTCGTAGAGCCTCTGGATCCGACAAAAACTCTCGAGACAGTGGATGGAACAACCATTCTAAACCGCTTACCTGCAAATGAACGATTACTTATGTTGAAAATTACGGCCAAGAGTATACAATCATTTTGTTTTAACTCACACTATCCTCATCTGCTCTTCTGATATGACGACGAGCACGCTTGTAAAAATATGGGGAGAAGATTGAGGCAAGAAAAGGAGGTAGGCAGAGGCGTGTCCTGCAAAACCTATTTCATCTCATTGCACAAAGATAATTGAGACAGCTCTCGAAACCCTATCGGACAGCAAACACAGCTTCTCAACTCCTTAGCGCAAATTTGGACCCTTTTCTAATCAATTTGCAAAATAATGCTGTTACTGACCTGATAGCAGCAGCGATGTAGATATCAGCCAGAACATTGCGAGGCAAACCATCAATAGAAGCTCCGGCACTTTCGGCAAGATTCACAGCGGAGAGGGCCAGGTACAAGCCGGATATTCCTTCACTCGTTTCATCAACACCAAGCAAATGTAGCTGCAATAAAAAAACCCTCCTACTGCCACATGGTCATTTTTTATTTTCTCAAAGGTATATTTTTGCAATGAAAAAATCGATCTTCTATCGTACACCGGCAATACCGATCGAATTACGTCACAGCTCAGTATGAAACCTTCTTTTGGTAAGAAAAATGGACATCATAGGAAATCATAGCGACAACGCAAAAATCCTTTTGCAGTAAAGGCTTTCGAGCACCAACCTGATGCATTTTGTGATAGATCATTGCCGTATGCGCATGGCTTTTGCAGACAACTGTGACAGGTTTTCCAGCATCTCGCTTACGTCGAGCAAACCATCTAGAGCGATACATCAGATAGTATGAACGCACTTGGCAAAATCTGACAGACCTTCCAATCCATAAGCCATTTAAAGCATGTCGGATAATCTGCCATACCACAGAAAGAGCTTGCTCAAGACCAGCAGATGGGAGGGGTCGTTCTAAGATCTGAACCGGCCAAATTTTGATTATATTGTTGCAGAATACGAGATAGCAGATTACCTGCAGACACTCAATATACTGCCGTTGGGCTTCTCGCACATTCCCATGCTCGGCTTCTTTACGAGCTCGCGCTCTGATGGACAGGAAGACTCGCCAGGATCTGGATTTGAAGTCCTGAAAAAATAACGGTGGAAGTCTACAATATAAGGCTCATAAGCTTATCTATGCCTAACTTTATGACAGTAAGAAGGGACTCTGGGAAGGGAATAGAGGCAAAAGAAAGACGCATTTTAGGTGGTGCTAATAAATCACTTGTGAAGTATTTGATTGTATGGAAACTCGAATTTTTTTTTGAGCGAACCAGATTAGAACGTCGAGAGAATAACGATGGGAAGAGAAGGAGAGGAAAAAGCAGCAGTTCCGCTGTCTAACAAAATTCAACGACAATGAAGAAATTCTCACCTGCACAGGTTCTCCATAGACCAGTAGCCGCGTCAGTACACACACGACCACGAATATATTTACAGACCACACAAAACAAGGTTGTATGAATCTTTTTTGCCACCACTGGTCAGCTGTCAGGTAGTTATCAAAAGCATCTGAGCCCTGAAATCGGCGCATACAGGCAACAGTGCCCGGTTGTAAAGTAATGCTCACGTCTGCCAAAACCCTGCCACCAGTTGGTGCGACAATGTCATGATTGCCACCGGCTGACACCGAATCGCCTGTCGCAAGTAAGCTTATCGGATTCCACATCAACATGGCGAACATCATGGCAAAAATTGTCACTCGTCCCTAGAAAATAAAAGCTGCAGCACATTTCACCGAAGCTGTAAGACAGGGATTACCTGCTCAGCGCTGGTACGCGGTCTTTTTACCCCTTTTGGGGTGGGAGATGTCGTAGGAGATGTCTAAAAAAGGATTTCACTTTTCTGTGATCAATAATTTCTGAATGATACATACATTCGCCCCAGGAGACTGTATACTAGCGGATGAGGTTGATGGGCTTAAGGCTGGTGAACCCACTACCATGACAGGTGGTGGCAAGACCTAGACCAAAAAGGATTTGTTAAAAAAATTGACTGGGCTCTATTGCTCACCTCTATATTGTGCTGCTGCAAAACTCCACTTAACCGATGAACTTCAAGGCGCAAATCGCGATTTTCTGCCTCTAGCTTAGTGATATGCTCAATGGCTTTTCTCAAGGTTGCAGATTTGCTGAGCTGAAAATTTTGAGGAAGTCAAAAAAGATTTTCACTGTCAAAGACATAAAATAAGAAGTTCACACCTTAGCATCGTCACCGGCTAAAATCGTTTTCAGATGTTGTATACGGTCATTGATAGAGCATCGATACTTCTTCTCAATGAGGTTGTGAGCGGTGCGCCTTTCAGTCTTAGGGCCTGAAAAAAGTTTTTGTTACTGTTCTGTATTAGCTGCGACGCAAAGAAGATGAAAAGAAAGGACTGATGAACAGAAATATGACAATATGACTCGGCTCGAGGCAGAACCATACAAGTATACATTAAAGTATCACAATACCTTTTCGTCTCGGTTCCTCCGATCCAAAATCATCTTCATCATCCGACTCGTCATCCGCGGGCCAAGTATCATCTCTCAAAACTCTTGTTGCCACCCCTGCCGGACGAGATCGACCACTCGCACCTCCACGACCGGCTTTCAAGCGCTCAACCTGACTCGGCGACATATTAACCTAAAAAAAGTTCTTTTCTGTATACATGTCGACGAGTAACTCGGACTTACCAGCAATCTCAACAACTCTTCCTTAGTCGTCGCTCCACTCTTGCCATTCTGCCCTCGTTGCGTTTCTGTTATACTACCATCGGATGGTGATCGGGTCATTTGTATTGACACAGGAGATTCAACTTTCACAGTTGCTGTTGCTGTGGCCGGTATGCAGGAGGTGTAACTCGCTCCAGGCGAGATCATGTAACCATGCTGCAAAACATTGAAGATTTCATTTACTCAGAAGTGAGAAAAAATGGAGGACGCTTAAAAAGGGAAGTGAGCTGACCTCGGATGGTGACGTTTGTAGGAACGATGGTTTTGTATCGATATACATGGCGGGAGGGGAGACCACCGGAGGTAAAGCTTGCATCGGAGGCGCGGTAAGCTGATGCGACTAAAAAGATTTCGTATGACTCATTAGTTACTAGTCACAAAGAATGCACATTATATACGCAGAGACGCCTTTCAAACAGTTATTCAAATGTAGGTAGAATATTTTTGGCACAAATTTTGCAAATTCATGACAGGGATCTGCTCAAAGCTTCCTACACTACGAATGTCTTAAGTGAAGATGATGCTACTGAAATCAGCCACTGACTTCTGAAATCCCTCAGTCATTTTATCAGAATGCTACAAATCTAAAAAATCTCATTTCTTCCTCAATTAAAAACAGTACTCGTTAAAATTACGTTCCAATTTAGAAGAAGTAAACGCCATAAATTTTTTACCACTTCTCCCCACAGTTAATGCACTGTTTGCGTAGCGGCTTTCATCTTTCATCACAACCAAGCAAAAGAACATAAGAAGCTCAAGAATACTAACTCTCATGTGACTCAACAATAAATCTTTTATCAGATCAACAGAAGAATCTCTGAGTGTGTCATAGATAGGTTGAGATACGAAATAAAAATACATGTTTTTATTAGGTTGTCCCAAAAGTAAACTCCATTTTCAAATAACTTGAGCTGTTTTGGTTTTTTCGATAGATTTGAGGTACCATTTGGTAGAGCGCAGCAAGCTCTACAAAAGAATTACCAGAGCTCCACCTAATTTTTAACCTAGGTAAATTTTGGAGCCAAAAATCAAAATTTTTCAGCTTCCCTAAAAATCGGATCTCCTTCCAGAAGATTCCTACGGACTTCCAACTTGCTCTTTATATAGTAGACACATAGTAGTACCCAAAAATGTATTTGGTGAATTTTTTCCGGGGCTCAAAATTGAGAAACAGATAATGTCTCAAAATGCCAAAATGCCACTTTTTTCGGGTTTTTCATGTAAAACTTGGTTTTCTCAATTATAAGAGCACCTACAGGGGTAAGGTTATGAGATTATATTTAGAAAGGCTTGTAGTATACAATGACATATATGGGAGGGGTTGGGGGCGGAGTTTGCCATTTTTGGACAATTTTTGTTCTCGCTTTTTATGCTCGGAAAAAATTCGGTAAAAGCATATTTGTGTACTACTATATGCCTTCTGTATAATGACCAAGTTGGAGGTCTGTAAGATTCTTTGAAGCAGGAATCCAATTTTCAGGTGACAAGATTTTTTTTGGTTTTGGCTTCAAACTTTACATAGAAGGCGAGTTAGGCGGACCCTTGGCGGTCATTTTGTAGAGCTTGATCCGCTCTATCGAATGATACCCTAAATATACTAGGAAAACAAAAACAGCCTGAGTTATTCAAAAAAGGAGTTTACTTTTGGGGAGGACCTAATAGGATCCGTATGAAGTGGCTACTAGCTAACCGAATGTACTTTTTCGATTTACATATAAGGGTAAGTTGAAGGCATTCCACTAGAGAGTGGCGAATCTTGACGCAGTACGCAGTTCCTGGCAATCCCAACAGTTCAAATCTCATCAAAAGAGGTGGATTCTGAAGCGGATGAATTGCTTCGGACGAGTCTACAAAAAAAGGGGCGAAAAGGGCGATACTCCTATCCCTCCCTTCCAGCGGTTTCTTACAGCTGCAGCAAAGCGCGTCTCGTCATCGCTCTTCCGGAGGGACTCAAAAAAGGGGTTTTTGAGATTTTTGGATAGTTTGGGGGACAGATTAGGATCCAGCAGGTTGAGAGCAATCAAAAGTGTCCAAAATCCCAGGGGTAAAATTCTACCTGGACAATGCCTTTAAGCAAGAGATACATATGTCTATCACGACTGAGAACAATAACAATCCCAGAATGGCATTAATGGCTTTGATATTATCTATCAAAGATTGGCATAGATTTAATTCCGAATAGAAGTAAGATCCAGCAAAAGATCAAGTGTAAACCTCTACCTTGGAACACTACTGCTTCTTTACACCCATAGCAACCAAAATCAACTTTTGTTCTCTTGCTCAAGCTTTTCAGTGACCCTTTGCTGTTCGTCCTCTTTGTTTATTGATAAAAGCAATACTTAGAATTCGGCAGCGAATCACGAACACTCAATTATTGTGCGTTTCATCGACATGAAAACGCTAATCTTATATTATCGCGTTTTCCACCTTCGAGTGTCACCTTCAGACGCATGCGTTGCAAATCGAGTCCATGCTTATCAGCAACGATGTGCCTAGCACTATCGATGGGGTAAAAAGTAATTCGTAAAAAAACAAGCAAAGCACTAATTTGGTTAATGCTGATTTCGTGAGAAAATAATTTCGTGGCAAAAGAAATCCTCTTTTAGTGCGACAGATCGCCTTTTCAGCGGTGATTATTGGTACCGTATATGCAGCAACCGCGAATGAAGATCAGTCATGACAGTTCACGTGGCACAGCTTGGCCAATCCTAGGCGAGCAATCGACCAATCAGACGCGCGCGCATTAACCAGAAATCCTTAACCACCATGAGCCTTTATCAGCAGAGTCTGTGAACGATGAACACTGTGAGAAAATTGTCATTCTTTAGCTAAGACTACAAAGCATAAAGCAATTTTTTCACAAAATAATAAAACCTACCATTTTGTGACAGATACAACGGTATATTTGACCGTTGCGGCTAAATGAAAATAACAGTTACGTTTTTTCGGAAGTTCTGCAGCGCGTAATTTAGCAGACAACATAAAACAATTTGGTAATTTATGACTTCTCAGCAATAATGAATTAAGGAGATGAGCATAACATTACGTTAAACTCAAACAGTTGTCGAAAACTATTCTTCAAAACAACCGAACAACCATTTCAGTTATGTTACTAGGTATGCGGTTCCTTCTTGCTAGCTCTAAACCCTGTTGTCCTCATGCTAATTTTACATCATACTAAAAAGTGAAAAGTTAACTGAAATTGTTGCTTGATTGTCGAACTTTGGCGCATTACTTGGAAGAAAGATGCAACTTCAGCTTGTTTTGTTTACAAAAAATCACTCGCGTTTATTATCATTGCCATTCCCGGGGACCAGATGAGAGACCATGGCGCATAAAACTGCGGAGGTTCTTTATCTAACAAGGAAGACGCCGTAAAAAAGAGCTGTCTGTATCGCCGAGAAAAATCAAAGAATAGTGCGGTAGTGGTAACGCTCAGCAAACTAAAGCTTTGATCTTTTGAACTGGAAGGCGCAAAAAACTACAGTATCTATAGTACGATACACTTACCAGTGAGCCTGGTGAGTAAGGATGAATTTGTAGAGGTGCTGGAGCCGCCGGAGGTCCGAGTTTTGGCAGCATGCCCGCTGGTCCATTCATGTTCAAAGTTTCAAAGTTGGGCGGAGAAAACCTGAGAATTGCAAGTTTTTCCAAGATTGTCCGAAACAAAAAAAAAGAGTAGAAACAACTGCAAATTCATCCCACAATCACTGAATGCTCAATTTCTGAGTATTTTGATCGTTGTGATAATTTTTATCCTATTTGTGGATAAATCAAAATAACCAATAAACTTACTTCATAGAAGCATACGGATCTGACGATGGTGGCGAATCTGCTTGCAAAAGAGACACAATGGAACCGATTTCCCGTGTCCTGCAAAAAGACAATTTTAATAAAGAAGCAATGTAAAAGCAGTACATTGGGTGGAGGCAACAACACAGTAAACAACTTTTGGACTATCTACGAACCTTCGGACATAAGATACAAAAAAGTGTAACGTGAAGAGTGTAAAGTATTTTTCTATTTGACAAGATGACGGCAATCAAGATCCAATAGCCTTTGAGAAAATAATGGGATTTCACAACCAACATCTACAACTTCTTTTCAACTGATTAAACCGAGACAGAAATTCGTATGCAGCTCGTAAAGAGATTCTTACATTGATATATCCAGCTAGCGGAGGTACGGCATATGGGGATGAAAATTCATGCTTTAGTTATCGATATTTGTCCAGATGTGCTGTGGCAGATAGAGATTATACTCAAACATTAAATTTATAATCTTCATATGTAGTACAAACTGTAAGAAGAATTTTTTCATGGACTCTGAAGACTGCGTACAACAGTATACAATCTCAGCGCTCAGATCTATAGCAGTTTCTGAAAAATCTCCACTCTGAACGAAAAAGTCTAGAACTTACGAGGAAAGGATACTGATGACCGTAACGTACACCATTGAATGACCTTGAGGCGCTGATTCCAAATCTTCTTTCACATTCGCTGTGTGCTTTCAGAAAGAAGTTACGAACAATTCTAACTACCAAAACTTGCACTATTATGATGACAGGATTTAATAGTTTCGTTGAAATCATCATTTATGCACTATAAAAGGGCGTCCAAATGAAATGAAGCATTGAGGTAAGCTCAGAAAAACAGTCTCCGATATACAAGAATCTGAAAAGCCTGGATGCTCACGATTCTGACTGCCCAGATCTCATAAAATTCATAAGGAAAAAAGTCCATAACTTCGTTCAGAAAGTCACACAGCAGATAATGGACAGATTTGGAATCAGCATTTCAAGGCATATTTACTGGTATACTTCTCACTGCAAAAAGCCACGGTCACCAAGCATTCTTCCCTTGTTAGCAGGAGCATCCAAATTCATTGAAAAAAAAAGAAGGAAAGAATAGAAGATGCAATTGCAATGGTTTTTGGAAGGCTGCCCGATTAAGTGCAAAGCGTATGCACGAATTTTGAAAAAAGCAAGTTGAACAAGGTTTTCTAGCAAAACGATAAGAAGGGAGTGAAGATATTGCAGCAACGAATTGTTTCAATCCTCAAGCCAGAAATATGTTACAAACTCGAGGCATTAGCATACAAACGAGTAAAATGAGGTGATGACAGTATACATAATAGGGTTAGGAACTCTAAAACTCTCTAAAAATGGCACAAAGGGAGAAATCATGAACTTGAACACAGACCATAATCTCTTACCTATTCGAATCGTAATATTCCTGAGGTGGACTGTGCTGATTCGGTCTCAACACTTGCTTGGGATATGGTGGAAATTGGCTAGCATGCGGTTGTGGATGATGCTCAGCCCAAGTGACCGTTTCCATTGTCAGCACATCCTGAGTGTCCATTCGTATGACATCTGTAGAAGATTACAGAACTTGCAAGCCATAACTACACTCGCTACTTACCGTACATTACAGACTACTACAAGTACGGGTTACCGTGGAATACAAACTGAGTGGGGTAGTTCCCGTGTTTGGGGTCTCTTATATCAGTAAGCGCTGACAGTGAGAAAAGCCGCTTATCAGGGAAAAATACGAGTAAAGCATTGAAATGCGCTACGTATACGTACCGGTTATATCTTCAAGGTTCGTTTCCAACGATAGGAATGGATCTGACATTGGGACGTCGTTGAAATTGAATTCCATCTCAAATGAAGGCTACGCTACTCCATAGATCTGGGTAAATATACGTTTGGAAAGCTTTGTGGAGATATCTAAAAAATAAAACTACGACGGTAAAAAAGACAGGATCATCAAAGGAAAGCAACAAAAACTACTTTTCAACATACTACTTTATTACACTCGCCAAAAATGTATCGGAACCAAAGACAAACAAACTGCAAAAATTCTGTGCAACTTTCTTAAGACCGTAGGGTAACTACGTCAATTCGATTACTCAGCAAATTGATAACAAAGAATAAAGTTGATGCAATGAGCTTAGAGTGACTTTGAGCCAAAGTAAATTCAGTGCACTAGCTTATTAGGGCTGATGAGCTTTAGCAATGAAAAATTAATCTTGAAGAAAAGATTATACTAGTAAGTACGTACCCTATGAGAAAGCATAGTTTTTGATTATCTCAAACTAAGAAAGAAAATACGAAGAAAAATCGCAAGTATACGAGGAAATGCATGCAGAAAAAATTAACGAAAAATACAAACAAATTGTGAAATCCAAAAATGTGCTTCTCTCACTTCCAAATAAAGCATGATAAAAGCTCCGACTAACCGGGAGTTCCCGTACCAACTCACGTCCACTGCACGTGGACACCTTAAAGTTTTACGAGCGCTCTTGAGCAAATTTTAGATAAGCGTACGCAAGTGATTATGCGTGAGTTGTGAAAAAAATGCTGAATCAGCCGAAATCTTGCAGCGATGTTAGCAAACAAAAAATGGAGGTGCAGCTGTGTTACCACGATTATGCACAAGCGAGAACTAGTCTCCAGTAGGTCAAAAGAATCCTCAACTAAGCATCAGACTTCTTGCTTTCAAATTGGCAAGAGTGCAGTGCATATAAGACTTACGATTCACTAATTTAAGGAGGAACAGGAGAAATCATTCCTAGAGACGATAAGATCATGAAATTCCTTATTCACCCATCTTAAAGGCAGCGGCTCGGCAGAATAGACCTATCTCAGAATTTGACATGGATGGATAGGAGGCCCTCCAAGTGAACCAAAAGAGCAACTCCGGGCCGAAAATGTGAATTCTGCAAGCCAGGGGGGCGAGCCAAGCTCCGCTCCCCTTCCTCCTTTCGCTACCCTAACACCTTGTGCGGACGAGTATGTTCTCCGCTAGAAAACGCGCCATCATTCGTAGTTTCGTAAGGTAGCGTTCTCTACCTCCTTACTTTGCGTCTCTGACGGCAGAGAAAAACGGCTCACTCGTCCGCGCCCATCTCAGGGGGGGGGGGGGTTCAAAAGACAGGGTTTTCCCCATTTTCGCGCTAAGGGGAGTTCATATCGTGATTCAGGGGGCCGGAATAACCTCAAATCTGTCAAAACCCGAAGTTGGAAATCTGCCGAGCCGCTGCCTTTAATCCTCAAGGAAAAAAATTGATATAAAGCAACCAGATTTCGGGAGAATAACATTTAGAAGAAGCGAAGATACAAAATAATGAGAAAATTTAAGTTTTTGAACATCCATCAGGGGGAACGACGATGGCAGGCACTGACTAGCCAATTCAGCACTTCTTTTGCACTTCTTTTCCTACTAGATTATATGCCTTATCGAGGAGCGTGATAACAAGAATGATTCAGCATCAGCTCCTGCCATATGCTTAACTTTATTAAGTGCATCGGCTTAATGGACAAGTCCCTTATCATGTGTGTCTGGATTATGACCTGCGCATCACTGTCAGATGAATGCTGCACAAGTGGGCAGTAGAATGGGTTTGAGGGAAAACGAGCTAATTCCAAGTTTTCAATCTACAGTGATTATTGCTTTAGCTTTATTGCCGCAAGCGCAGACGGTTAAAGATAGCACAAAGAATAAAAATATATACGAAATGCAAAATATTCGAACCGAACAAAAAACCTGCAAGTCAGATATAGACAATCGAATATATGATACGTACGATGTGAACTGCATATACAGGGTGTCCAAAAAATGTTAAAAGTGTTTGATCGTTAATAACTCTCTTGCTTTCATGTCTTTCACCAAGTTTGAGGTGCCATTCTGTAGAGCTAGGTTCAACTTAGATTCACAGCATGAAACGAATCTCTGATCTTTTTTCGTTACTGTAGGATTACGGTGTAAACTTTCAGCATATAGCGCTGGAATCACCTTTTGATTTAGAAAGTTTCAAAAAATCTGGAAATTTGTGTGGCAAGGTTTTCAGGCGTGCTGATTTCACTACGCAACTTTTTAGCAGTTTTTCGAGCTTTTTCTGGTATAATCACATTTTTGACAAACATTGGATAAACAGTTGTTATCCTAAATTTGAGATAATGCACGAAAGAAGCATTACAGTTAGCGACTTTGATCAGCTTAGCCCAGTACCAGAGTTGCTGGCTTGTTTGGTTTTTGGTATTTATAAAGCAAAATATCGCCAATGGTCTACAAGCCTTGTCAAAGTTCCTACAGTAATCCTACCTAACGAAAAAAGATCGAAAATCGTTACATGCTGTATAACTAAGATGAACCTCGCTCTACGGAATGCTACCTAAAGCTCGGCGAAGGACGTTCAAGCAAGAGTTATTGACACAAACAGTGCGTACATTTCTTGGGTCATCCTGTAGTACTGTATAGTTTGTACAAGGCCCTCGATACTTGCCATCGAATTGAATAAAAAGATGAAAGGATGTGAACAAGTATTAGTAAAAAGCAGTATTCGTCTCCAAAGTATGTGCTTTCTCAAAAATTCTACTAATTCTGCGCTGCTTAAATGACCTCGTCCATGCTCATAAAATTTGAACTATTTAAAAAACAACACTGGGCTTTGATCAGATGCTTTCACCGCTTTCTCATTGGGTATTGATGGCAAGCTTGAGGGATCCTCTATCCCATTTTAGATACACAAAAAGGTTCATGCCTCTAAGGGGAATCATGGTCAGAATTTCAAGTGAAATTCCTCCACGACTCAAAAAAAAACTCAAATCAAAAGGTAAGTTAACTCACGGCTAGCACTATTACGCAGAACTAACACCATTGTTGCATAACAAATTTATAGTATCACTCAACACTTTCTATCCAGCTAGTTGATGCAATTATGATTTCAGAAATTAATACGAATTATACGGAACCAGTCGCACGCGATAGAGTTCTTTGCAGGAAACGGTGACAACTTTTTAACAAATTACGGTAATATGGGAAGTCAGTCAAAAATAAGAAGTGACATAGCTTTAAAAGCCTTGCAAGTACGTTTTAGGATGGAGTTAGTAAACGGAAAAGTGTAAACTAGGTTCGAATCTCCAGGTTAAAGACTGCAAGATGGCAGCGAGATGTGGTTATCAGCAATCAAACAAAAAGTACATTTTGAGATATTCAGTGCAGCACTTGTAAAATGACAAGAACAGCATATCAACGGGGATGAACAGAATTTGCAAGCAATCAGCAGTAACAATAAGAAAAACTGGCTCTCGTTGAAAAAAAAAGCAAATTTATGGCTGACGCTGAGAAATTCACAGTATGAAGAAAAAAGACAGATCAGCAAAACATAACAAAAAATGTCAAAATCGTGACAGCAGAATAAACAACGACGAGAAAAAAAATATAGAACGCAGACTTTTTGTGTGACATCAAATCTATCACTTAAAACAACACTGATTAGACTGATTAACCCAACAGCAGAAGAAAAATCGATATGTGATTGCCCGAAAAGCGCGATAACATCGCTGAAGGTTCTTTCGAGTACACGCGCTGTCAAATAGAAGTTTTGGAATAAATGAGCGTGAATAGTAGAAAAAGACGCCAAGGCTTCCATTCTGTTGAGTTTTGAGATACAGTCTGATTCGAGTTGCTTCAGCGAGAAACTATGATAAGAAAAAGGTTTGAAAATTGATCTATTTTTCACCGCTAGAGGTAAAAATACGTATGTGCAGAGTGCTTTACATTTTTTCGGACAATTTCCAGGAAAATAGCGCCTTCGGAAGGATAATGGCAAATTTTTGAAGAGTGATCATATATCCTGCTGAAATCTCACAATGAAAGGAAACATTATTTATTTATTTATGTAATATACACTGCTTCAAGAACAATTTTACACAACCAATCCAAGAAAAAAAATTAATGTTCGATAAATGAATTCAGCAGAAGTAAGATATCATTGATATAATTTATAAGGCACATTCAAACAACACAGATTGTGCGAAGAAAAAGAAACTATGTACTTTAAAACTGGGAAAGGCGGTGATTTTTGAGAGTTAATTGACGGTAGGTACCAAACATTAGTCGAGTAAAGAAACTATCTGTACTACGTTGAGTCAAAAGTATGAGAGCTTTTGATTTTGATTCCACAATCTAGGCATAATGATGAACGGTACACTAGACTGTGTTAGATGTTTTCTTTCTTTAGCAGTGACTTCGGACACATTTCCCTCATGACTGCTGGAATAAAAATTATAAACTTATCAAAGATAGTCTTTGACTCGTGTAACTTTAGCTTACCCTCAAAATTTTCATTTCAGTTTTGAGAAAAATCAGAGCATAGAAGAACGAAGCAAACCTTATTCAGAACAAATCTTCTTGAGTCAATTGAAACTAGCTCTTCGGGGCTTTTTCAAATTATTTTTAAAGGCCCTTGATTTTTGAAAAACTGCGTTAATTAAAAATGCTTCCAACCCTTCAAATTATTGAGAATTTGAAAGCTACGAAAGTTGTTTATAATAATAAAATGGTTTTGTGAAGTAACCGCTAACCGTTAGCTGACCGTTTACCCCACCGTTTACCGTTAGCCAACAAGTAGCCTTTTATCGCTCCAAAATAACATGATCCAAATTCCATATACAGCTGTCGGCAAATATAGAATTTCAACAGCGTACGCATTAAGTTCCAACTCCTGCGATTAATCCAGGAGTTACGAAAATATTTGGTCGAAAATAATAGTTGTTGCAAAGAAAAAGAAAAATGCGTCGGATAGAATTTGCAGCATTGCCTGTAGCTAGTCTGATTTGAGGATAGGTCCAAGAAGAAGTGTAGTCTCATTATTTTTAACTCATCCGAACACAACATCGACCTGCATCAGGATATAGCACACAAATCCAGCTTTAGAGTTGGCACAATTCCAAAAAATGTGCAAAACTGTGTAAAGTGGATCGGTATAAATGATTGCTCGTTGATTTTGAGGGGGGAAGGGATGAAGTTCAGGGGAACTGTTCGGCCGAATCTACGCGAAATTCGATGAGGTCTACATGATGGAGATGGGATGATTGAATATAGGTTTGCCAAAAGAAACTGAAACAGCAAACGAGCAGATGTAGATCAGCATCTCGTCAGACCTTGGAATGAAATGTGATAACTAAAGTCTGCAGAAAAGAGATTTCTGAAGAACAGTCAGGCTCAGAAAAGGCGCTGCTGACAGGTCTTTGTTTCTAAGTGATATCATCAAGATAAGAAATACAGACAGACAGGAGAAGGATCCAAACGTAAATCCGTAGGCATGAAAAAAGTTCTTGAGAATAATCACAGACGCTAGTGTAATGACGAGTGACCACGTGACAACCGGCTGGTCCGGTTGCCAATGTCGTCACCCATAGATCTGTACGGTCAGAGGATTAGAACAGTTTCGAGAGCGAGATGGACCAAATTTCTCAGGAGCATAGGTGCGAAGGCCTGAGATGGGTACCCTCCAAAGTGAAGGGGGTCTCAGGAGTTTTTGACCCTCAAAAGTGAAGGGGGTCCAAAAATTGCCGACGTCGAACGGGGGGGGGGGAATTGAAAAAAATTTTCAACTTTTTAACTTTAATTTTTCCAAATTTTAATTTCAACAATTTTCCAATTTTTTTTTTGCTTTTTAATTTTCTAAATTTGTTGTATACATTACATACATACATTATTTCATATTTTGTATACATTTTAACATAGTAAAATGTTTCCGAGTACTTTTTCGATGAATATCATTTATCATGTATTATGGAAGCAAAAATCGGGACAGGACCCCCCTCACTGGGACGAAGCAGGTGCTAAGGTGAGTTAGTTAGATTAAAGTTGAGATATCGGAGCTGAAAAATCCAATTTTAGGCATTCCATGGGACGAGCAGTATTGAGTCGATATGGGAGGGCGCATGGTCGTGAAACGAATGGCTAGAGTGGTGCTTACACGCGGGCTTGTTGGACGAGACTCTGAAAAAGACATTTTGTGGTTATAATGTGGATATAAATTGAATAATTTGCCATCGTATTGTGTGTATAAGGATAAACAATAAATGGAATTGTTGTACACAATCGAATTTGTATATACTGAGTGAAGGCAGGAAAATAATCAGAACAGGAAAGGTAAGATATCGGAGTTTGATGATCAAAAGAGAAAGCTGCTGGAAATAAGTTCTATAAAGGTAGAGGGAGAAGGTAAGTCAGGTATTAGGTACTCAGGTAAGCTTCCGATGTAAGCTGATAAGGAGAAGCAGGTTTGAGTTTCCAACTATACCCCCCTTCGAGCCAAAAAATTTCCATATCTCGGTGAGGGAGTCATCTCATGATCTAGTTTCTTTTTTATCTTGTAAGGGAGAGTGTGCTTGATATAACTAGGGCTGTCGCAAAAGGATCTGCTTTAAGGAAGGAGAGCAACAGCACCGAGTTGAAGACGCATAAATTTGTGCGTAAAATTCAAGCTTCAGAAGTTCTGCTTTAGCAGATTCTTTTGCGACAGCCCTAGTTATCTCAAGCACACTCTCCCTTACAAGATAAAAAAGAAACTAGATCATGAGATGACCCCCTCACCGAGATATGGAAATTTTTTGGCTCGAAGGGGGGGGGGGGGTATAGTTGGAAACTCAAACCTGCCTGCTTCCCCTTATCAGCTTACATCGGAAGCTTACCTGAGTACCTAATACCTGACTTACCTTCTCCCTCTACCTTTATAGAACTTATTTCCAGCAGCTTTCTCTTTTGATCATCAAACTCCGATATCTTACCTTTCCTATTCTGATTATTTTCCTGCCTTCACTCAGTATATACAAATTTGATTGTGTACAACAGTTCCATTTATTGTTTATCCTTATACACACAATACGATGGCAAATTATTCAATTTATATCCACATTATAACCACAAAATGTCTTTTTCAGAGTCTCGTCCAACAAGCCCACGTGTAAGCACCACTCTAGCCATTCGTTTCACGACCATGCGCCCTCCCATATCGACTCAATACTGCTCGTCCCATGGAATGCCTAAAATTGGATTTTTCAGCTCCGATATCTCAACTTTAATCTAACTAATTCACCTTAGCACCTGCTTCGTCCCAGTGAGGGGGGTCCGGCCCCGATTTTTGCTTCCTTTCCCGCATTCTCATTTCCTACACTCTGTAAATAAATTCTTTTACCTTAAATTGTACTCCACTTCAAGCACACTATCATCTCACCTCAAAAAATTTTCTTTCTCCGTCCTAAGTGAAGGGGGGGGGGTAGCCCAGGCTCCAAAGTGAAGGGGGAGTGAGATTTTTCTCAACCCTTCGCACCTATGCTCAGGAGTTTCGCTTGAAAGAGCAGACGAAAATAGAAAGGTATAAAAAAGACGATTTGCAAAGAAGCTACTGAAAATGGGGGCGAAAATTGGCGGTAGAAAGGAGAATACTGCGGTAATTTGGTTTAAAAGCCAATGAAGTCCTCGAAATGGCTGCCAAGCAAGGTTGTAACGTGCATCCAAGAAATTTTGGATAACACAGGTGTCAATCATCGGAAATTTCGATGATAAGAAGAGCAAAGTTGCAGTTTTTAGTGAAGCACTACATCGCTTTGTCAACGATTATAAATATGGAACGCCACGATTCTAAAAGCGACAGAGAAACAAGTAAATGACATCCATAAAACAACAGAGTGCGAAAACATTCAGAAATTTATTTCTCAGAAAACAAAGAAATACTAATAATAAGAAATATACATAAAGGTCAAGATAGCAAGATAAGGCGAACCTTTTAAATAAGTGAGGAAAAATTTATTGATGTTTCAAAATTAATTGTGTAAACAAAGCTCTCACATTCTTTTCATTAGCCGTCTGATTGTTTCCTTTGGTGCAACCACACAATTCTGCAAATACAGGTGCCTTTTGCATTCGCACGACTGGAAATTGCAAAACCCAGCGACATTCTTCTTTTTCATCGAAAATTTTACTATTTTTAGTTTAGTTTTTGGTCTGTCATTAGTGAGCCCATTTTGCAGGGGTCCCATCATATGACCACTTTCCAAATCCCGGGTTTGGATTATGGAAGTGGTGACAGTTCACCGGACACGGAAGAAGCTCCGCAGGTATGATCACCCGTAAATTTTGGTTACTTAGAGATTTGTCCCCTGAGGTATCAGTTTCGGTCAACAAACGCCAAAATTTTATTCTTGAAAAAACTTTTCGTCCAGCAGTTGCTATCTGTAAAACCAATTATACTTTTTCCTCCAGCTTTTTGAGTCAGATTCGTTTTGTTTTGTTCCTTGATTCAGTTATTTCAGGAAAACCATATGTGCATTGATTGCTATAGCATAGCTATGAAAATTGTTCAATTACCCACTGGAGCTCCTCTCCCTGATAAATACCTGATAGTCCATGAGTTGACAAGTAAGTGTGCTTCTTTTGAGAATGTTCAAGATCCTTATTTTTACTACACCTGAGAATCTGTTAATAACAAACATTATCTCAAGAAAATGTCAACAAATGTCATGGTGGTGTTCTCTTGTAACTTGCAAGGGAAGCGTGTTTAGTCGAAGTGGCCTTTCCAGATGAGACCCATACTGCTTTGAGGAGCATTAAGCGATGATTCAAAATCTGCCTTCCAAATCTGCCAAGCGCCTCTGGAAGGCCAAGAAATTGAATGCAAAACTGAAACAAAATTACCCAAATTTTCTTAAATGGTCCAGTGGAGCCGTTTATGCAATGGATACATTTTGTTTAAGGCAGATTTGGAATCAACGTGCAATACTCTTCAAAGTAGTTCGGGTCTCATCCGAAATGGCCATTCGACTAAACACGCTTCCCTTGTTACAAGGGAAGGCATCTACTTAGCGCGGCCTTTTGGAAGGAGACCTTTCGTATATAAACGCTGATTCCAATTATGCTATTCCTAGCTGCGGCTTATCATCTAAGTGCTAGTCAGTTTTGAGTTAAGTTATTTTCATATCTCAGCACCTTTTTCGAGTAGATTTAGATTTTTGTTTACAGACAGTCTTCCCATGTTAATACACCAATTTGGCACATTAAGAAACTCATAACTCGCTTCGGATTGATGCGCCGCAGCTACGAATAGCATATTTGGAATTAGCGTTTGAAGCTGATTCCGAATACACGTCTCTATCCGAAAGGCGGAGCTAAGCTAGGTACTTATTGGATGCAGCCTTCTCAATCTGTAACCTATGCGCTTTTGCTGGAATGAGCAGTTTTGTCTAAAATGAGAAATCGTTTTAGTAGATTTGTTTATCGTCAAGTTATCGACCGCACAGGCTGGCGTAGATTGCGGAGCACGCGCAGCGAGGCTGAAATGTCACGAGAACACGAGTACTATGGCGATTTGTGCTGGTTCAAGCTCGTCGCCGAACGATACGTTTTCCGCAAGCTAAGGCCAGTCTTGCGGTCAACTACTGTACATTTCAATTCATAATAGGGGATTGCTTGTTGCACTACCTTGTGAGCGCTTGTTACGTCCTGCTATACTTTAACTGAATCGTTTCGTAATACTCAGTAGCATTGCCATTCCTCTTTGTTCAGGCGAAGAGATAGCTACATTTGGGAATGCCCTCAAGGATTCGGAAATTGATCCCGACGGAGATGACTTCATTCGTGGGTTTTTTCCCATATTTCCTAAATTAGAACTCGTTTTTTCTTTCCAGACTGTGATAAGTGCAATTGTTACTACCGTGCTTCTTGTAAGGAGCACCCGCTCTTTTGGGTCAAAGATCGTGAGCCAGTAAGTTTCACGTTTTCTCTTATGCATACATCTTTGTTTTCGCCATACTTATCAAGCGTTTTCAAGTCACATGAATTTATAGGCTAAAAGCTCCAAGCCAGAGGATCGCGCGAAAAATACAGCTCCTGCATTCATAAGTATAAAAACGTCGTCCATACCAAACGCTGGTATGGGAGCATTTGCTGAAGCATGTATTCCAGTATGTTGTCGAAAATTGTCTATTTATCGAAGTGTACTCATGAGCTTAGGTTGGTATGGTTTTTGGGCCCTATCAGGGTATCTTGATTGATGATGCGTCTGACGCAGAAAAAGATGGGTATTGCTGGGAGCTAAGGTAATTTTTCTTTTGGTCACGTTCTTTTAGAGATATCAATTTTTTTAGAAGCCATAATGGCCAACATTTCATTGATGGAAGTAATACGCAGTATTCCAACTGGATGAGATACATCAACAGCTCACGACGTAAGTTTTAATTGTACTTCACAAATTTGAAAGTTGAGCAGAGTTTCTTGAGGAAGTTGTCCCAGCCATCTGCTCATCTTACTCAACAGTTACTTTATTACTTTCAGATGATAAGGAGCAAAATCTGCTGGCGTTCCAGTACTGCGGTGGTGTTTACTATCGAGTGATCCGGCCCATCAAAATAAAGGACGAGCTTCTAGGTGGGAAGAGTCGATGCCTCCGTATAGAACGTTTTCGCTAAAACGTTTCTTCTTCCTTGTGAACTTAAGTCACAAATGCCACCTTTGGTGATTAATAATTCATGTTTCATAATAATTAGTTCAAACCCTAGTCATATTTGTTATCTTGTCTCAGGATTATTTTGAGAGATAGTCTGGTTTTTGGCCGTACTTTTGATTTCTAAATCTGATTGACAATTTCCTTAAGCAGCTACTTTCACATTTGCTCTGCATTTTCTTTTCTGTGATAGATCAGGGACCTGAAATGATTGTGATTACTCATTAACAGATTTCTCCCTAATAAATATATTGAACAAGAAAAAGCCATTATTGTACTACTCAGTGTCACCACCACTATCGCATTCTCGTTTTAGTGTGGTACGGTAAGAAGTTTGGCAAGAGTCTTGGCGTGTTCACGACATTGCGATCGATTAAGAAGGCGACCACAGCTGCCAACAAGAATCCGTTTATACTATGAGTCCTAAGGTACGTTTGTGGAGTGTAACTAATCAAAGTGGTGGTGGCACTGCATGAGGTTTCGAATCGGAGTATAGTTACTAGTATCTAGCGTTATCCAGCGCAATCGCCGTGAGAAATCCCCATGTGGGCATAGAGACAAAAATAATAAAAAAAGTAATAAATCGCACGCGATTTATTCTCTCTATGAATGGCTGACGTTTTCTAACAAAAGGACGGGCAAAGCACTAGAACCATATGCGTACTGAATTATGTGACGCAGCATGACATCACTTTTGACACTTCACTGCAATCTCACAGCTAATGACCCTCAGTGAAGGTAGTACACGAAAAATGCCATTTATCAAAGGAGAATGACAGAACCCAGGAGAAAGGTCTAAGAAAAAATACTAATGAGGAGAATTGATGCAGATAATTATCCTTCAAACTCTGTTTTTGTGGCTTGAAGAAAGATCAGACTTGTGGCCAACATCTAGCCAACTCATGTTGCTTCGTGGGAGTGTTTTCCATGCTGCATAGAGTCACTACTTCAATACAAAGTCGTGGCAAGCTGAATCTTTTATTGTGATCATCAACGTTAGAAGCACCAATAGTAACAAAACAAAAAAAATTAGTAACTGTACAATACAAGATGAAATAAGAAGGACATATGCAAATGCTAGAAACATAAAACAGCACGTGGATATGTGACTGTTTGAAAGATGTCCATTCATGGTGATACAGATTCAATGGACCGTGGGGGACTTACGCAAGGGGATGCTTCCTGACTCTGAAATTGATGGAGAATGATGTGCGCGTCACCGAAGCTTCCACTTATTTCTGTTTGATGAGGTCTAATCAACTTTCTCACAGAGAAATGCAACACAACCTATCCGCCATACCTTTATGCCATGAACGAAATCTCCTCAACGATAGTCTTAAAAAACCGACCTACAGCTGTCCTAGTGACATCACAATTCCAGCGCTGGCATCACAACCGCCTCCTTAGGCCTTGCACCGGTTCGCGAAAACAGCCTTTGGGCATTTTTCCAGCCCAATCACTGCCTAGGCTTGGGAAAATGCCAAGTTCGCGAACGAGGCGCGGAGCTTGAGTGACGGCCGCTAGGCTTGAGAATGTAAAGCTTGACTGTCACTGACAAGGGGAGGATGGCTGGTCGAATTGGCCTTCTGCTACAATATTGAGCGTACAAAATACTGATTTTAACTACGTCTTATTTCTCTGCGGAATATTTATGGACGTGGAGTTATGAGTATTCCATGAAGCAGAAAACAAATGCGCGTGCAGGATAAAAACAGTTGCTAAAATCTTCCTAGCTCTTAAATGAGACGGCAGAGTGCGGATATATCTTACCTAAGAGAATTTATTGCACAAAAAGTTTTAGTTAACAAGGCACTTTACTCTAGGAAAAATGGTACGGCAATTTTTTTTCTACTTCCGCCTTCGTCCTGTCTAGAAACGCTCCGCAGATATGGAAAACAGATTTGAAATCAGGGTTATATGCCCCTCAAGATGGTGCAAACTTTATCTCAAGCCTTTTTGATAATCATCCTTCTCGGCATTTTGTGCATCACACTGTATCTAGTTATGCGCTAATTCTCGCACCATTAAATGAAAGTAAAAAACATACTTGACGATGATGATGATGATAATAACAGCAGTTTTGAGTAAGCAGAACTCACCTTAGCCAACCTTCTTTGCTCTTCCATTTGTTTCTTTTCAATTTTCGCTAGTGTGCTAGCCATAATTTCCTCTCTTGAAACTGACTTCGTACAAAGGAGGCTGACGTGAGGAGCAGGCATGGTAGACTTCGGCAGTTCTGCGGGTTTGAGGTAATAACCTCTTTCTACAAAAAAAGAGGGAATTTACTTGACCTTTCGCTAATGCAAAGTAACGCTTACCGATTATGGAAAATCGCTCGTTCAGAGTAACGCGACGGTTACAGTAGTTGCCAGCGCGTTCAGGAAGCTTCACAAAATTCTTTTGAATAACCGCGCGACCTTGAATAGGTTCGATGGTGTAGGAAACAGACGTCATTGTTTCTACTTGAATCCTGAAAATTATTGACTTCAAAAGAGAGATTCACGGGACAGAAGTGGGAAAATCTCCCATCACATAGTTCTTGAATGACGAGAACGACACAGCAAAAATGCTTGGAAATCGAAATGTTGTTATCGACGCACGCGAATGTTCAACAAAATCTTCTCGAAATGGTGGACAAGGGGGAGCTTTTCTGGTAAAATCTGACATTATCTATCAATCTTACCAGTAAGCCCATAAACTTGAAACTTGCCACTTTGAGGGTAGCTTTGTCTGACACCTCAGATATCTTAATTTCTCGTAGTCGTTTTTGTCATATGTGACTTCCGAAACATTTCTTTCAGAGCCAAGTCCCAGACACCCGTTCGATCACTGGTCAGACATTGTGATATACAAATTATAGGTGATTATTGTTACTTTTAACATTGCTAACGGCGCGTGTAAATTTGTTTTTTTACTACCCTGGTGGTTCTTCTCCTACTGTTTATTTACATTATTGTGAAGAGAATGATTTGAATAAAGGATTCTTCACTGAAAGGGAATGAATGCCACATACAAATCAGAACGAAGAGCAAGAAAAGCATACGATGCTGATTAAGAGGTGTAAAGAAGGCCAGAGACATCGCGTTTGACGAGAAACAGTTTCAAATTGGGCGCGCTTGGTGCAACTGCACCAGCACGCGGTAAAATTCGGCTACTGGGGTAGCTGGCGCGATTTTATGCATGTCGCCCTGTAAAATAGTTTAGAAAGTTGAGATACTATCGTTAGTTTGAGAACTCCTACCGCTCTCTTTTTTCAGCATGCCTTAAGGTCAAAATTCCCCAAGAAAATTGGTAGGATTAATCTTAGGAGACGGCTATACTATCCCTGTTTTCTGTTTTCCTGTGATTTTGCGGGTCCGCAGCAATTTATATTGCAAAAAAACAATGTATATTGAAATCTGCAAAACGCTCCGTAGTGTCGGCACACATCAGAAGTAGAGGAATCACAGGAATTGCAGGGATTACAGTGCAGGTCACTTCCTGGGATAGTATGGCCGTCACTTATACATTAGGCAGTGCTATAAGTCACGTGGTTAAGGAGTTCTTTCTGAGGTTTATAGCTTGCTGAGTTGCATAGATATGATTTGGTTATTCTCTGTACTGGATTAATATTCGAATATGTCGATGAGGCCGGTAAAAATTGTGCAAGTACAATTCTGTCCATTCTCTTCAAAATGTAAAGCCATAGGTGAAGCTATCTACTCCATGATTGTCCCGGGGGAAGATAAGTTGGAGAGTTTGCTACTGTTTGGAAAATGAATGTATGCGATAAGAACCGCTCTCAGGCTTCTAAGTTTCCATCTGATTCCAACGTGTTCCGCTATCATTGTGATGGTAAATTTTTTCTAGCTAAATAAGTCCTATCTTTTACGTCTTTGAAAGCTCCATTGTCCTATCTCGCAGTTGAGTTATTACACCTTTCATTCGCATTCCGAATTGCTTCAAAGTCGAAATATTCTAAAACTCTCATTTGTCTTAGAACCATAACAAAGTATTTTCAAGACTTTCATGAGTTCCACGTTGCGTGAAGTCCTGACGAAAGGACTACCGCCACCAGGAAGGTCAGTTTTTGCTCATTCATAACAATAAAGATAAAATGGAAAACTACAAAGTCTTTCGTACTTCATCGATGGTTATTCAGCTCGTTGTCACATAGAACCGGTGGACACGGACGTGGTCGTGATGTAACACCACTTTCATGGAAGGACTTCTTTGATGAAAATCGTATGCTCGATATAGACGGTGATAAATTCAATGTTTATCTAAAGGTGCCGTGATTATGCACGATTTTTGCAGACTGAATAGGATTCTTTAGGGTAGCACTGGCCCCCTTTTCTATTTTTTGCACGGTGGAGGCTATTCCGGACTGACGTGGTCTTGCTTAGCTGTGAGTTTTTTGATTTACATGTTGTATCTTGTTTCCTCTACTGTGGCTTCATTTACCGTTTGTCTTGAGTATTTCTCTCGATGCCTTTCTGAGCTACCGATGCGGATGGATAGGTTGACTTAAAGGTAGTAGCTCGACAGACGACTCGGTACTCATTTTTCCTGGATGAGCTAATTCGAAAACTGTGCTTTGCAGCTGCTGAAGATATCAGTAACTCGCTTTTCTGGACGTGGAAAGTGTCTGGGCGGGAAGCGGAAAATCGCCCTATAGAAAGCGATTAGATCGTGGAGTGCGGATGGGTGGAGACACCGTACTTATCCCGGTGGCATAGGATCATTGACTCCAGCAGCAATCGTTCCAAAGGGGCCGGCTTTTGCTTCCATCCAAACAGCAGCTTTTACGTCCAGAAATCCAGAAATGCGAGTTATAGTTATCTCGAAATGCTGCAAAGCACGTTTTACACTCAGCTCATCGCGGAGAGTCAAGACGACGAATATCCTCAAGTTGTAAATCTGTCGAGCCTCTGTCTTTTACAACATTGGGGAGAGTGGGGGAGGGTAACGTGTGCATATAGTATAATGGTATCAGGCCGAAATGTTGGTATGAACGCGCGCCGGAAGCGCTATAAGGTTTCTGCTGCATATGCGTGTGCAACAGAGGTTGTAGAGAACGAGTAAAGGGGCTTGACATTACTTGTGGTGGCATTTCGCATACATGACGCGAAATTCTAGCTGCGCGGACATGTGTCAAGACAATTTGGCTTGTTATCTTTTGGGACAACTATAAGGCTCTTGTGTTCTTCCAATCATGATGCTTTAAGTTACTTCTTATCTAATTCATGTTACCTGGAAATGAATCCTTTGCATTTTACTTAGTTTTCGATGTCAAATTGTTTGCCATATGACTGTGTTGTCCATAGCCAAAAATCCTTTCTCTTTCGATATGAGTGCGCAATGAATGAAGTGTCACATAACTTTTAGACGGAGCTTTGCTCACGTGTACAATGTCGACTGCTAGTGCCCGACTTGCGTGGCCATGGTCTTTCCCAAACTAAAGATGAAAATGACTTATCTACTGAGCGGCAAGTAAAGTAAGCAACCTTCAACCATCCTTTCTAATATTCAGGGTTTGAAAATTCAGGGATATTCTCAATATATACAAGGCTATTTTTGAAGGAAACGGTGACGAGGAGCCTCCATATGTTGTTGTTGTGGGTCATAGGTAGTACTGTTGCTTTTTTTCTGCAGCGTTGTAAGCTTTTGTATGTAGAATAGAAAACTGCACTTATCTGTGTTCACCGTATATTTTCCTTTTTTAGTATGGGTGGTGCATTGGCTGTTCATGTTGTCGCTACCAATGAAATCCCGAACGTTGTTGGTCTTGTTGTGATCGACGTTGTCGAAGGTTCCGCTATGGATGCGTTGAGTGGTATGGTTAGTTTATGATTAATTAAGGTTTGGATTATTTAATCAAGTGCGGCCCGTCTTTACAATAGTTTTCTATTTTTACAGTCCACTTTTCTTCGCGGTCGCCCGGCGAGCTTCGATTCCGAAGAAAAAGCAATTAGCTGGTGCTTGCAGTCGGGAGCAACTCGAAATCGTCAAGCCGCAAGGATCTCGATGCCTTCACAAATCAGAAAAACCGAGGATGGGAAGGTTAGTTGGAGTCAGTAGTTCATATAGATGAAGTTTATTTTAATGTTTCTTATTGTAGTATACATGGCGAATTGACTTAACAGCAACAGAACCTTACTGGGTTGGGTGGTTCCAAGGATTGTCTGCGAAATTCTTATCGTGTTCACCTCCGAAGCTTTTGGTGCTAGCTGGCGTGGATCGCCTGGATAAGGACCTCACAGTGAGTTAAGATATGAGCATTTCTCACAAAATCTCTTCTCCTTTTTCTTCATTTCTTCTTCTTGGGTGTTGACAAGCTTACCTGATCTCTTTGATTTCTTTCGCCTGTTGACTGCAATGAGCAATATTTTTCAAGCGCTTTTTCCTCATAATTTTGGTTTATAACAAATCAAATGACTTCTGTTTCTTTGACTGTCAATTACAGATCGCTCAAATGCAAGGAAAGTTCCAGAACACTATTCTTCCTAAAGTTGGACATGCAGTCCATGAGGATAGTCCGGATCGGCTAGCTGACGAGTTAGCGCGATTTGCCATTCGCCACAGATTCGCTGAACCAGTGCCAGGCGGAAAGCCTCTTTCTGCGCACCCCATGATGGGCATGGGCATGATGATCTAAATATGTCAATTACGAGCATCTCTATCCCCCTTTTTGTAGCTATACGAGTATATCAAATGCGAATATATTTTGGAAAATCATGCGTATGAATAGGTGTAAATCTTTCTCCAGTATACAAGAATCACATTGTATGAATGTTCTCGTTTTGTTCTGCTAAAAAGAGATACCTTTACTGAATTCAATGAATTCGCTTTGAGTTGATGCACTTTTTCTGTTTTTAATTATCATAGATGTTGGATTTTTTTTACTAGCGAGTCTTTTGGCTATCAAATCTCCCGGTGTCAAATTGTGTTTCTTTCTTCTCATTTGTTTTCATTACACCTGCCAAATCTTCCCATATGCTCACAATCAACTCATCAAATTTGAATTTGAGAAAGATTTGTGACATCATTGAGTATATAATAAATATTCAATAAATAAAATAAATAAATATATATAATAAATAATAAATATAATACATATAATAGATCACTTTCTAACTTCCTGGTTAACTCACATCAAACATTATCTTATCAGACAGCGATATTAGTGTCCGCTAGTGGCATAACGTCTTGCAGTTTCCTAACAAGGGAGGCCTGTTTGGTTGAAGTGGCCTTTTCACATGAACCTGATACGACTATAAAGAGCATCGATCGCTGATTCCAAACCTGTCTTCGTTGTCCGTCGAGTGCCTCTGGAGGTCGAGTTATGAGCGTCTTTTTGAGTCGAATGAAAGAATGCATAATTTGAAGAAATTTCATCAGAATTGCTCAAATGGTCAAATGTTGGTCATCAAAGCACTTCATTCAAACAACGCCTTCTTCCAGATCCCCGTACCTAACTCTGCTTCATTTGAGCGTTGGAAAGGCCGTGAAATTTGACTTTACCTGGATCATGCGTTCATTTTTCTCACCGAAAATACTTGCAATTACGCCACTCATCATGCAGAGTTGCTTGGCAGATAATGAAATGAGATTTGGAATCACCGTTTGATGCTCTTCAAAGTGGTATAAGACTCATTTGGAAGGGCCACTTCACTAATCGGCCTCCCTTGTAGGGTAGCCTCATGCCAACTACTTACAACAAGAGATTGAAAGGCTATGAGCGCGAGAAGCTTCCGGCCAACCTTTCTAAATTCTGAGAGCTTTATCGCGCAATCAAGCACAGCCGAGCATAATATTGTGAAGATTTCTTCGCTACTTGAGCTTAGATCTCCCGATGATTCCGGATTTGCCAGAAGAGCGCGAAAATTCGGAAACTGGCTATTCCAATAGCTCTTGATTTAGAATATATCAGCAAGATTAAGATGCGGAGTCATTGAGACTCTATATCTTGGATGTGTGCGATATGCTCACTCTAGGTTGGAGGACGCTATCCATTAATAGGCTTCACCCACTGACAGGGGCACGAGCTGCAGCCGCATGTGATTATGAGATGTGCCCGTCTATGGTAAATTTCAGCGGGAGTTTTCTCCTTTCAATGACAAATAGTCGTCTACCGTGCACTCTGGTTGCAGTTTGAAACCGACGGCACGGCCAGAAGAGGTATTCGCTTCTTAGCTTCTGAAGCGATTTCCTCGTTTAAGTAAGAGCTTTATCGAAATAAGTAGTATTGCAGTCTACGTTTTTCTCGTATCGTAACACCCAGAAGCTTTATTTGAAGACATTGGCTCGGCAAAATGGACCCCCGTCAGGTTTTAAGGTTAGATAGCAGACCCATCAAGTACATCGCATACCCAATTCCGTTATCTAGTTCGTGGGCTGAGTCTTGAAACCGCGCTTCAAACATGCGTCCTTGGCGGAACTTCCAACAATTATTCAGGACTTAGCCCACGAATTGGAAGATGAGACGGAGTCTACGATGTACGTGGGGTCTATTACTTAAGGGTACCAAAATCTGACAAATCCATTTTGCCGAGCCACAGCCTTTGAGTTGAGTTTGGGCAAGTTACTTTCAAGTCGTACATTCACTTAAATGTTCAAATACTCAAACAGGAACCCAAACACATATATAGCAGGATAGCATGCTGCAACTACTTCAAATATGGAAGACGTGTGAAACTGCCCTTTAGCTTGACTAGAGAAGGTTTGGATGCATATCGAAGGGCAACTGAAAGCTTAGTTGGGATCTGAATTCGCTATCTGCAAGGTAGGATGGGGAGGGAGTAAAGAGGATGTTTCGATAGAAAGTGCCATTAACGGTTCTGCCCTGATTCTGGTCGTTCTACGCTGCATAAAATGTGACCAACTTGTTGGGATAACCACTTCAACATCTGAACAACACTTATAGGAAGCGGTTCTGGCATTGAGGTTTTCATTACTCTTGAACGGAAATTTTAACCACTTCTCTTATCACAAGTGGTACTAGTTATGCGTATCCGAAGCCTGCTGCTCAATCAGTTGGCTGCATCATAAGGAGATTGCAAAAGTACAAATATCACCTCATGCATAGTGACAAAAACTTAAAGAGAAACTATAAAATTTCTTCTGAGCAAGTTTACCGGCCAGTAGGTGGTGCAGATGTACTGATTCTGCTGTTGACAGCACATCAACAAACATCAAGAACATTTTGTAAAAAGTTCTTATACTCCTGTAGACTAGGATTTGGTCGATAACACAGGCAAAATGTTCACATTCATTGCTGACGTAACAATTCATTGAGTAACTTCTTAAGAGTGCATCCGTTGAATTTCTCTAATACAGATTTTTTTATGGCCCAACGTGATGCAGATGTATTGGTTGTTGGCAACAAATCAACAAACATCAAGAGCAAATTTTAATGAGAAATTCCTTCAACACTTTTTGAAAATGTAATTTAATAACAGTAGATGTCAGATTCGTATAAGACGTAACAGTTTTTTTTATCTGGAACATCTGCATAAAAGTTGCGCCCGTTTTGTTCTACTCATTCTTTTACCCACTTGACAACCTTTCAAGTCCAGAATGAGACTTTTCCTGGCTTTTGCTCTTCTATTCCTACTAGTGGCTGAAATTGCGGCACAAGGATTTCGAGGCTCTCATCGAGGTGGAATAATGAGTGGACGCAGAGGACATGGTGGACGGATGGGTGGACACAGAGGAGGACCCGGTGGAAGGATGGGCAGACACAGAGGAGGACACGGTGGAAGGATGGGTGGACACAGAAGAGGACCTGGCGGTAGACGTGGAGGCAGATTCTGAGCAGATCGTGTGAGCTCAAGCAACATCCCGTTTGATGATCAAACTCAACACAACTAATTTCGATATCGTCTCGTATATACGTCTTCTGCGTTATATGCTCTTGTCTCATCCTCTAAATGTAACATGCGTGTTTCACAGTGATCACTCGGCTTTAAGCCAGAGAGATGTTTCCTGCTGGTTTTGATAGGAAGCTATGGAAAGCGTATTATAGAAAGTGTGTGAATTTCAGTTACCGTATATGTGTTGCATTGAGCTGTCAATAAATTCTTAGAAAATGTAGGCTAAAGTGGCTTCAATCTCGGAAATTCAAAAATTTTAGAATGAGTTACGACTTTTTAATTGTTCTGAGGACTGTAGTACGTTCTCGATGTTCCCTGCTGGCTTTAAAGGCACTGTCCACCCAGAATTTCGACTTCCACGTTTTTGTCGTTTCAGGGACTTCTCATGTCCCTGATTCCGAATATAAAATCGAGAAGCTCGAAAACCCCGACAATCCTCATTTCGGAGAACCGACAGGCCGGCTCTCCGGAACGGTGATTGGATGGGCGTGCACAAATGAGCGGGCATGGATGGGGGTCCTCGTGCATCTTCGCTATCCCGAGCGATTTTCTCGCTTCCGAAGCGGCTGCGACCGCGACGAGTTCGCGCCGCGACTTTATTGAATTGACAGGGGGCACCCTACTTTATATGCTGCCAAAAGCTCAACATCATCAACATAGGGTGGACAGTGCCTTTAAGCTCTGGGAAAGAAGCATCAGAAAGTATAGATAAATATATAGATAAATGAAGGTAGAAATTGTACACTGGTTTAGGAGCCAGCAGATTATCCTCTACTTGAGTTCTAGACCACTTCGTTCGGTTAGGTTCTTTCAAACGAATGACACGGTCCCTCTTCGTCTGCTGTGGTCATTTTCCAGCAGAACTTGATTTTTTTTTCAAAAATTATGAGTCTGAGTCGACTGTTGAAAGGTCCATAGCGTAGACGGATCTACTGCAGCAAAATCTTGTGTTGCTTAACCAAAATCGATCCTAAATCAAAATAGTGCTATAATCAAACCGGTGCCTTTCCCAGTCTCACACTCTTCCCCATGTGTGCAGTGTGCAGCCAAGTTTCGAAATTTTACAGCTGACAATAAGCGTACGATAGTTCTCGCCATTCAAGCTGCTCGGTTACCGTCGGGTTTTCTGTTCAAACAGCTGCCTGCTACGGCTCCTTTTCATTCTTCAAGCAAGGGAAATTGGAACGAAAACGGGCCGAGTAACACGGCAAGTGAGCATTACTTCCTTATATTTTGCACTTCCTCATCAGCCACGATTCAAGAAATGGCAGAAACTGATGTAGATTTCTGTCGAAGCCGAGATTATGCAAAATGACTAAACTTTGATTTTGCATCCACGCTCGGTACCCAGAAAGAGAATGGTATTTCTAAGATATGAGGTAAATATTAGGTTACTGCTATGATGGAACAAACTGACACCGCGTAGTACTTCAACATGAGGATTTGAGAAGGGAAAGGGCCGAGGTCACCCGTGGCCTTTCCATGTCAGGGCCCGGCAGGAGGTGGGATTTCAGAATTTTGAAAACGATATCCCCTTTGAAGCCAAAATTTCTTACGACTTCCCCTTTGACCCTATTTTTGACCCCCGTAAGTCCCTGACAAACAGATATACACAAATAATATGGGCGGCCTCAGCGCTTATTATAGTAGTAGTACCTGGCTTTCCTGGTCCAGCCCGGGTCATCAAGGTTTCAGCTCAATGGGTTCATCCGCAAAGGAATCTATAAAAAAAAACATAGGGTCAAGATTTGCACAAACTTTGACGTTTATATATCTAAGATACTACTCATTTATGTCAGCTGCGAAACTTTACAATTTAATATCTACTGCGTGACGAAGGCGGTTGCCCAAATAGACTGAAGGTTGTCGCGCACGCGGCGCGCGGGCAATTGTCAGCCACGGAGCGTGCACACGCTCGCTCAGCGGTCATCCACGGAGCGCGGCGGCACGACAGCCAGCCGCTGACCGAGCGTGCGCGCGCTACATGGCTGACAATTGCCCGCGTGCTGCGACAATCTTCAGTCTATTTGGGCAACCGCCTTCGTCACGCAGTAGATATTACAATAAATTGCGATTGGAGCGCGCTTTCCGAGGCCGATCATAACGCTGTGAACCCTATTTGGGGCTGT